CACTACATGTGTACCCTGTTACCGTAACATGTCACTACATGTATACCCTGTTACCCTGTTACCGTAACATGTCACTACATGTATACCCCCTGTCACCGTAACATGTCACTACATGTATACCCTGTTACCGTAACATGTCCCTGTCGTAGCCGTAGCATACCCCTGTCACCGTAACATGTCACTACATGTGTACCCTGTTACCCATGTTACCGTATACCCTGTCACCGTAATGTCATGTCACTACATGTATACCCTGTTACCGTAACATGTCACTACACTACATGTATACCCTGTCACCGTAGCACCGTGTCACTACATGTACCGTACATGTCACTACTGTTACCGTAACATGTCACTACATGTATACCCTGTCACCGTAACATGTCACTACATGTATACCCTGTCACCGTAATGTCATGTCACTACATGTATACCCTGTTACCGTAGTAGCATGTCACTACATGTATACCCCCTGTTACCGTAACATGTCACTACATGTATACCCTGTCATGTCACTACTACATGTGTGCCCTGTTACCGTAACATGTCACTACATGTATACCCTGTTACCGTAACATGTCACTGTATACCCTGTCACCGTAGCATGTCACTGTGTACCCTGTTACCGTAACATGTCACTACATGTATACCCTGTCACCGTACTACATGTAGTGTCACCCTGTTACCGTAGCCCGTCACTTCGATTCCTGTTACCGTAACATGTCACTGTGTTACCGTAGCCCATCACTGTCCTACCGTTACCGTAACATGTCATTGCATGTCACTACAATGTTACCTGCGTACCGTAACTAAACATGTCACTACATGTATACCCTGTCACCGTAGCCGTGTCACTACATGTATACCCTGTTACCGTAACATGTCACTACATGTATACCCTGTTACCGTAACATGTCACTACATGTATGTATACTGTTATGTCCGTACCCTGTCACCGTATACCCTGTCACCGTAACATGTCACTACATACATGTTACCGTATGTCACTGTACACCGTGTATACCCTGTTACCGTAGCATGTCACTACATGTACCCTGTTACCGTAACATGTCACTACATGTATACCCTGTTACCGTAACATGTCACTACATGTATACCCTGTTACCGTAACATGTCACTACATGTATACCCTGTTACCGTAATATTGCTAAAAGCGGCGTATGTCACTACATACATGTCATACAAGTGTACCCTGTTACCGTAACATGTCACTACATGTATACCCTGTCACCGTACCATGTCGCTACATGTATATCCTGTCACCGTACCATGTTGCCGTCACTACATGTATACCCTGTTACCGTAACATGTCACTACATGTATACCCTGTCACCGTAACATGTCACTACATGTATACCCTGTTACCGTAACATGTCACTACATGTATACCCTGTTACCGTAACATGTCACTACATGTATACCCTGTCACCGTACCATGTCACTACATGTATACCCTGTCACCGTAATTTGTCACTACATGTGTACCCTGTCACCGTACCATGTCACTACATGTATACCCTGTCACCGTAATTTGTCACTACATGTGTACCCTGTCACCGTACCATATCACTACATGTATACCCTGTCACCGTAATTTGTCACTACATGTGTACCCTGTCACCGTACCATATCACTACATGTATACCCTGTCACTGCACAACGTCACTACGTTTATACCCTGTCACCGTAAGATATCACTACATGTATACTCTGTTACCGTAGCACGTGTATGTTACATTACATTACATTTCATTTAACAAATTAATATATTTTAAAGTTTCCAATGCTCACCTTTAAATGATAGTTTCCATATGGTAATATATTTCTGTCTGAGATTTTCGAAATAGATAGTTCGAATCTTACCAAACTTTGCGTTAATGTACATGTGATATACCTGTGATTTATTTTCGAATCTTTTTTGAGGCATTGATCATTGTATTTTGAAGAAATTATACGTTTTTGTTCTGCGATCTTCAGGGGTGTTACACTATTTCACGCATTCACTGACTGGTTAATAGAAACTATCAAGGTGAGGCGATCTGGTTAAAGTGCTGAAGTGGCGATGGCTGCAGGGCGAGCAAATACTGTAGTGTAATGAGCGGAATACCATACGTTGCATCAACCCACGGCATCAGCCCCCTCGGTAAGTAAAGTGAGAACGTTCAAATAAAGAAAATAGTTTATTTCATATTCATTTAGTACTAAATCACAACGTCATTACAATATAACTGGTTTATACACACAAACATATAAATGTAGTCATTGTGATGAAAAATGAAAATAGATCTCGTTTTAAAACGTGTGATTAACAACACGCGATACAAGGATACATGTACATTACAAAATGAAAACTCATATAACACGCCCCAATAAGTAAGAGTTGGAGCTCTCTTTCACTTCATGTGTCACTGGCGTTTCCTAGGAACCCCTCAGACTCTCATCGATTCGTTACAAAGTCACCCCTCCGTGGTCTAAAGGATAGAGTATCTGTCCGGAGAGCGAAAAGTCGGTCAAACCGGCAGCGTCAGACAAAACATATGAAAATATGGTACTTGTTGTTGCCTTGCCTAGCCCTGCCATTTAGGGAAAACAAGGACTGTTCGGTTAGGAGTCAGTGTACTGTGTCTGAGTGGGCTATCCATGTAAAACTGTGGCTTGGTATCCCCCTAGTGACCCGAATCAGTACCGACAAGCACAGGCATGCACACTTAACACATTTAATTTCACCTCGTTACAAAATCAATTAAAGCTTGAGACCGAATTTTACAGTTATCAGGCATGGTACATATCAGATATGTTCAAATAATTGACAAACAGCCTTTTCACATCCTTGCAATAGGAATTTTCATTCAAGAACCAACTGAATGGCTAAAGTGAGCAAAGGTGATCCTGAGAAAATCTCATATTGAGCAAATCCATGATCAAAGACGATTTTTACTGTAATAGTTGTACTGTTTTTATCATTGTCCCAGTGGTAGCAACATGAGTTAAAGACTTGCTCATATTTAAATATATAATACCTACCTAAAATATTTTGATATAAAAATTTACTGTTATAAATTAAATGATTTTCTCAATAAAATTTAAACTCAAGTATACCTTTAAATGCATAGAGAAAAATGCTGCTTCACAACACATGCTGAAACGGTTACAGGATTGGATCATCACAAGACACCATGTCAGTCTTATTCTTGTAAATGGTAAATGAAAACGATATACCTGCAAGAAATCTTTTGAATGTCAGAAGTATTTTCTTGTTCTTTTACACTTTTACAACATACCTCAATGATCAATAAAACCAGTTTTCTTCTTTTATGTAGGTCAGTAATCCAAATCTACAGCTTACATGATGTGTATTACGTGTCTAAAGCGGACACTCGTTAATCCGGACTCATGTGGATTGGACATACATTGTATATCCCGTGATATCAGAAATACTACAACTACAAATGAAATTTGGTCTTGGTCGAAATGAACAAGGTGAGCCTGCGAAATATCTGAAAAATGAAAAACAGTTCTTTATCTTCACCAAGCCTAAACACATGAAAGGACAGACAGTTACGTTCAGATAAATAGTTTGAATTATGATGGGGTTTTCTTATTTGGAACTATCATTCTAATTTCTAATCACATCTAAACACAACGAAATAAGCTAATGCATATATGTCACCATTAAAATGTATGATTAATGTTAAAAGAATAAAATACATAGGCATTATTTGAGTCAATAAATTCAAAATCAAACAGTACCAAACATCATAGAGTATCATACAATATCAGATCATTGGATCATCAGATCAGGCCTTTCATTTAGTCATTTGCATGTACAAGAAGTTCAATATATTCACACAATATATATTTAGGTCCGTAATGAACACGTGGATAAAAACATTCAGGTTGCACGTTAAAGGGTATTTTTAAAAATCAGAGCATGTGTGGTTTACACAACCATGCTTTTCAGCAATGGGCTATTTACACTGAAAAGCCGACGTGTTATCATTTATTTAATGTAATTATATTTAAACATAAAATACAACAAAGTTTAATAGAGCAAATCGGTCAAACTGATTTCATTTTAAACATTCAGAAGCAGACCTAATTTATGAGAATGAGAATAATTCCGATTTATACTTTGATAGGATCCCAAGAATAATTGTAATTCGACACCAGAAATATACGACATTAACAGGTTGCAGCCCGACTAATGAAATGGCTTCAATGATACAAAAGCTTGTGAATATATAAACTATGAAATCTTATCTGATCGTAATCTAGAACATATCTTTTATGCTTTTAACATTTAACAAGCGTTCGAGCCTATCGTCAGTTACTTTATCCATATTTCATTCCAGCTTTAAACGAATTTGACTGGTTTTGTGTGGTTTCTATAAAAACATTGATTTGATAATGGAATAAAGATTAAATGAAAACTTTAAGCATAAAAAATCTAAGGATATAAGTCATTTGGAATTTTGGTGAATAAGAAGGTCATATGTGACCTGTTCGGTGTTTTCATCATTTGTGACATATCTTAGGATATTTGGTGGGGAAAGACAGCCCACAACATATACAAATGTACATGTTATCAGGTGGATGTAAAAACAATAGATAACATTGATGGTGTATATTTCATTCTTTTTGGACAAATAGCCCCGGCCCTTCCTCCATTACAGCTTCGTTTTGGAAGTGATGCCTTCACTTTTAACCCCAGTTTTGACTTGGGGAGACCTTCTCGTTAGTGTAATTAGACAGAACGGCTATTATTTGTGCGTGGGACTCAAATCAATGCGAGGATAGTGAATGAGTCCATGGTATTCATTATAGTGAAGTATATACATTTGTGTGTGTGTGTGTGTGTGTGTGTGTGTGTGTATGTGTGTATGTATGTATGTGTGTGTGTGTGTGTGTGTGTGTGTGTGTGTGTGTGTGTGTGTGTGTGTGTGTGTGTGTGTGTGTGTGTGTGTGTGTGTGTGTGTGTGTGTGTGTGTGTGTGTGTGTGTGTGTGTGTGTGTGTGTGTGTGTGTGTGTGTGTGTGTGTGTGTGTGTGTGTGTGTGTGTGGTGTGTGTGTGTGTACACTGGATCAAGAAAATGACTTTGAAGACAACAGGACTTTTAACAAACATGCTTTGTCACAGTATCACGCTGCCGTCATTGTTCGTCATTGTTCGTCCTTACAGCGCACTGAAGTATTCTTCGTCTATATTTCCATGGGGCAGGTGTCAGAGGTATCATTGGGAGTAGCACATACATTAATACTTTTTCTCCACTTTCAACTGTGCTTCCTTATGTCTACGCCAGAATGCCTACCTGTAATAACAGCCATCTCATTACATGTAGATACTTTACCTGTATCTGAATCCAGATCTGGGACACTATATAGGAGGTCACGTAGGGTAACAGCGAACTTTGACCTTACAATCTAAAGGAAGAAACGAGTTTAGTTTTACGCCATTTTCAGCAATATTCCAGCAATATTTATTAATACTTCTGAATTTTAAAAGACTCGATTTTGATTGGCTGATTAGAAAGTGGTGACCCAAGATTCAATGGAGTTGTCCTCCGATCTTTACGAACAAAAGTATCGTATCGGAGTAAAAGGTTACATTTGAATGAGATTGGTCCTGTTAAGAGCACCGTCGATGGCATAGATTTGCAGGTGAGCTACGGCCAGCACAGTGCTGGATTATCACAAACCAGAAAACGATAGGTAGCGTTAAATCGTCTCCTATCGGTACTATTACTATGTTCGTCCAGTGTTTGACTACACTTCACAAAAAATGCCTTCAACACTACACCTTACTGTGACGTAGATCCCCGTTCACACCATTTTTCACAATAAATTTCTCTTTCTCGGGGCTATCAACTTTTGGCGTTTCTAAAAAGAAAGGTCTGGTTTTCTTCTTGGCGATTACTAAGGCTACGATATAGAGAAGGACGGAACTTCCTCTTGTAACGACGAACACAGTGTGGTACTTGAGATTGAAGCCACGGAGGTCGTAAAGCAGACACGCCCCTGAACCGGAACAGGAAGTGGCCCACGTACGGCAGGTCGTGTCGATTAGTTTCCCGAACAACACTGGTCCTGGGAACCAACCTAGAAACAGGAAAATTATAATTCTCTTTAATCATAATTCCTGAGAAATAATATATTTATTAACTATGATTTCATATTCATATGAGGTTTAAAACAGATTACCGTATACTTCGACATTCCAAAGTGGCCAATACTGTTAGATTTGAATTATCATCAAGTCAAAACATAGATTACACAACAGTCTCGTTTCCTGTTGTCTGGGTTCCGTCCTATTGCGCAACTTAGTACAATAACCAGTCCAGAATTTCGAGACCAGTTCATTTAACTGGATGCATAAATATTAATCAGTACCATTATTTGATACATCTAAGCATTTGTATATTGCAACACTACGCTCCTTATAATCCTTGCAAAAATGTCGTGCGGCGTGCTCTGTCGTACAGCGTGCACTGACACACAGACACCTGGAAATCGTGGAAATCTCAAAACGAGGCTCTACCGCTAGAAAAGTTTGATATTATATCAATCACATTGTGCGTTACAGAACTGCACTGAATAAGCGCCAAAAACTCAAAACAGGTGTAACCAGTGAGCCAGATGCATTGGGAATCATTTTACGACCTCATCAAACTGGGGCAGTCTGTGACATCTTAGTGAAGGTCATGCTGCCCACACATCGCCAGAAAATATAGAAATACGAGGTTATTAAATTTTAAAATCAAAATTCATTTGTAAATACCATTTTCATATGAAACAAGGAATTGGAATTCAGTGTAACCATTGTTGTTTGTAATGTCTATTTTCACTTTCACACGAGAAAATTCGGATCGGCTGAAAAGTAGGCCATTGTCTGAATAGGTTAATGAGACTCCTGTTTCGGTTTGGTGAGCGGTATTTATTTTAACCTTACTCAAAAACGAAGATATATATAGTCCTTTTCTTTTGTTGTTGTTGTTGTTGTTGTTGTTGTTGTTGCTTGTAGCAATATTCGAGCTAATAAATTGGCAGAACACTTTGCACCCATGAGGGGAATTCGGGTCTTCGGTATTAAAAGCGAACGCTTGAACCACTAGGCTACCCAACAACCACTCTATTTGCTAAGGTGGTTTAGCAGTCATGGTATAGGTTCGTGACACTAAAGACACGGTTTCATTTGCCCATGATACAAATGTGAAACCCAATTTTGGTGAAAGTGGTGATATTCCGAATGAACCACATTGAACTATTGTTAAGCACTTTGTATAAGTCTATCTTTGTGCCGTTATAACCAGGGCGACATTATAACCAGGAAAGCCCAATCGGTCGGTCATATCTCCACCGTCAACACTCTATGGTAGTGATAAGGGACCGTTATAATTTTAGGCTAGGAGGGCTGGTGATGATTTTATGGAGAAGCATGTACAGTGTGAATGCCCCTTCCCCCTAAATTATGTACAAAGTAAGTGACACCCCACGCAATATACTGATATACAGTACACAAATAGTTACATCAGTCACCGTGCGTTGTAACCAGGGAATTTCAATGGGTGGAAATCTGTTCTGAAAAATAATGGCTTTATAACCAGGGGCATTATTACCAGGGTGCACTGAACTTTCTGCTGACTGAACAAATGCCGAATTGCCGTTGTCCTCAATACGGTAAGCTTCCAGTCTGCTCAGTGTTTACTTACCTAGTAAGGTATTGAGGAACGCTGACAAGCCTATGGCGAGCGGTTTATCTGCTTCTGATACGCTTCTGGAACATGAAAGATAAAATCAACGTATTATAAGCACGACAGAGTTCGCGGAAGATATACGTAGGCGAACGAACGACTAGTAGATTTTAGGACCGTTTCTCGTAGTTTCTGAAAGCAAAATTAGCTGAAATAGTGTATGGTTGTATCATTCGTTTTCGTTTCCGCAATCGATTTCGATTTTATGTTTGCTCCGATGTGTCAACGTTAACGTATCTTCACATAAAGATGTTTTGTAAAATAGGTCCACAAAGGAGCTGATTACATATCGGGATTACGTTTTCAGTAGATTCAAACTAAAGGGTAATAACCCATTGTCCCATGGGGTGAAGGTCATAAACTGTTGGTTGCCATCTCCCTGAAATTAGATCCCTGACTCAGATGTTACCCCTTTCTGTGTAGAACCATGAGAACACCTCTGTAGTATGACAGGGGCGTAGCTACCATTATAAAAAAAGCCCGAGCTTACACATCAGTTTTGCTAAAAGGTTGGACAAGTCCTCAATACTATCTAAATAAAAAGCTTTGCAACCTATCGGGCTTACAAGAAAAACAGGGCTTGCTACGCGCCTGGATGAATACATGTGCATGAGTACATTATGGATGTTCTTTTTATTATTTACATGACGTTTCAAAGCAAATTCTTGCTCATTCTTCAGGTGAAGGATGAGAACCTCTATAGGATGTCACGTCGCGTACACCCTTTCATCAGCTAATCACCGTCGAAGTATCGCATTTCGAAGCATTCAGACAAGCATATCATATTTCTCGAAAACGGTTAAAATCGACGATTTGAGCGTGTGTCTCAAACAAGATCAACACATGTGAACCTTTGAGTGAGTGTGAGTTTAGTTTTACGCCGCTTTTAGCAATATTCCATCAAAATCACGGCGGGGGACACCAGAAATGGGCTCCACACGTTTTACCTATGTGGGGAATCGAACCCGGGGTTTCGTCGTGGCGAGCAAAAGCTCTAACCACTAGGCTACCCCACCGCTCTGTAAACCTTTGAAGATATCTTTTCCATAAACGAATATTTTGCTGTTTGCATGGAGCGTATGGGGCAATGGATTAGTGGTTTGCAGATATGATTGATAAACCAGTTCAATCTTACATATTTATATATTACAATTTAACAGCAACTTAGGAGAACTTTAACTGACAAATGTATGTCAAATATGATTTGTTTGTCATTACTTTAGGCAATCAACTTTTTCTACGTTTTCCACGGTTTGTGCAAATAATAACGGTACTAATGCGTGTATATGTCATGTCGATTACTGACAATGGAAGAGGAACAAATGACCCAGTTGTCTGAAGCGCCGCAGTCCGTTGTGCAGAGTTGCGTCCCTTGAGCACGACAGACCCCTATGATCGTGGGTTAGTTATCAGAAATGGCCGAAATAATGCCGATGCGACGTAAAACATAACTCAGATATCGGAACCATACCGTTGCTCGAGGGTTTCTCCGGAACTGGTAAATATCTTGGACCTGCATCACCTCGGGTTTTCCCCCTACACCAGGCTGACGCGCCTTGATACAAACGGAACATTTTCAAAGCGGCGGTAAACCCAATCCATTCATTTACAATGGAACAGTGTGTTTTATTAAACATGCCTGATTATAACCTTCATCTCTACTCACCTGATTGTGACTATAAACCCAGGCATCATTCCGAGGGTCGCTGTGAAGGCACTGAAGAACATGATGGCGACGTAGGGGTATAGGTTGCTGCAGCTGCTCTCACACAGACCAGGCACTGCTGTGGAGTTGCCGGAGATGCACGTGCACCCCGTGTAATACTGAAACAACCGTGGCGTGCGCCTTTAAGAGTCTTCAAAGGCACAAATGGAGTTTGCTTACACAGACGTATCCTTATTTGCGCTTACAATGAATTTAACCGTTAAACATTTGTTTGTCATGTTCTTGTAAACCAGAGTTTAGGTATAATGTGTATCATGCGCTGCCATACATATGCTTTAGATACATGGTTGGCTACGAAAACATGTCATAGCAATGATAAAATGTTTGGGAGCAACCATTGAAGGAAAGAAAATACTGTGATAATGCAAACAAATAATGACGTTTACCTCCTTTTCAGATCTATGATTGGACATAACGATTTACCAATGACTACATGTTGGTTGGGGCTGCTTGGCTCGTCACGCCGAAGACCCGGGTTCGAATCCCCACATGGGTACAATGAGTGAAGCCCATTTCTGGTGTCCCCCGCCGTGATATTGCTGGAATATTGCTAAAAGCGGCGTAAAACCAAACTCAGTCAGTCAGTCAGTGGTTGGGGCTGCTAGACAACGCGTGGGTCTCTATCTGACCTGCAGGTTAACCTTGTTTCTGCTCTTAGATCAACTACTGCTATTACATTTGTCACCGTTCTTTCAAAACCAGCCCTTCAAAACAAGAATGAGCCTAAAGATATATCTCTACTGACAACGATAGTCCTTTCCTAAATCATCTGTCTTCAGCTGAAACTGTAACTGTCTACCTAAATCTCTTAAAGGAAGCGCACAGAATATTTTTCTAAATTGCTAACAAATTTTCATTCACACAAATTTACAGCAAAAGACATGACCCCTCAGGATATGTACTCAGCGGACATTCATGGATAAAAACTCGTAAATTCAGGATTAAGGAATTTGACAATGGCTCCCAGACGGATTCCAAGCTGAATTAATTGATGTATGTAAGCTTCTTCTCGGATCAAGTCAGACCCTATAAAAATCTTCAATATGTAAATATGAGAATTGATGTTCTTTGTGTCCATACTCGTAAAGGGTACCGTCTGTTGAAAACGTATATCTTTACATTTTATTGACGTTTATCATGCAAGGGTTCAGTAGAACATAATAACATTATACTTAAATTTACAAAATATATATATTACCCATAAAAATACTTTAAATTTGGTTTGGTTGGGGTGAATATGTACAGGTAACTCATGTGTCGCTTCACTACCTCTGCGTCCATTGATGGGCATCCTGCATGGCATGGGGACTGGTAGCTGATCCCATCCTCGCCACACACGGGGAAAAAGTCGTTGACGTCACAGCCACAGCCCGATGTGCAGGTCCAAGGCAATGCCGTCGTGTTACTGGAAACATATACAGTGTATCAGAATGGCGTGTCGTCAAACCCCGACGTCTTGAGTTGCTGCTCATTATATCAACCACTGGTTTAGTTGACCAAGACTCGATTACGTAGACATCGAAATGACATAGCTGGGTATTGCTGACTGAAAAACCTAATTCAAACTAATTTGCTAAAAAAACATTACATCATTACATCAACAGATTATATTTATGCAGGGTGAAATTGGGGTCATAGAGTGGGTGAGTTTAGTTTTACGCTGCACACAGCAATATTCTAGCTATATGGTAGCGGTCTGTAAATAATCGAGTCTGGACCAAACAATCCAGTGATCAACAGCATGAGCATTGATCTACGCAATTGGGATTCGATGACAACCCGTTAGTCGCCTCTTTCGACAAGCATGGGTTACTGAAGATCAACCCGTGAAGGTCCGGGTTAGAATGTACCTTCAGTAACCCATGCTTGTCGTAAGAGGCGACTCACGGGATCGGGTGGTCAGGCTCGCTGGCTTGGTTGACATCGGTTCCCATTGCGCAGATCGATGCTGTCTGGTCCGGACTCGATTATTTACAGACCGTCTCCATATAGCTGGAATATTGCTGAGTGCGGCGTAAAACTAAACTCACTCACTGAAGATCAATTCTAACCCGGATCCTCACGGGTTTAGGGTCATAGAAGACTTGACATTGGATTTACATGAGTTATCTCCTTCAGAAATGAGAACAGATTAAACTATTTACATGCTGCAGCTATATAGGTCAATAGCAATTCAGCTGGAGTGTATAATCCGTGACACCGGTGTCGTAACACTGTGTTGATATAAAACACCACACAAAAGATTTCGTTTATCAGGTAAGGACAATACCCCTAAGTCTATTCCACAAAGTTTTCATTTAAAACCAAAATATTTTCACTAAATAACGCCAAACCCTCATGCAAATAAAAAAATATACATTGTCTTAATGAGATGAGGGGCGGTGGGTAGCCTAATGGTTAACGCCTTCGCTCGTCACGCCGAAGACCCGGGCTCGATTCCCCACATGGGCACAATGTTTGATGCCCATTTCTGGTGTCCCCCGACCTTATATTGCTGGAATATTGCTAAAAAGGCGTAAAACTAAACTGACTCACTCACTTTATGAGATAAGAGTACAGTGATACAGCTGGAGTTACGTTAAATGATGATTATAGTAAACATTGAAATGTGATAAATGTAACCATGCGTCAAATGCGATAATGCGACAACCGCGATATTAAGATGCACGTCTCTGTAGGTGCACGTTCAGGACATACACTACTCTGAAGATCACTTTGGAGTAGTCCATGATTGTCTCAGAGTCCATCTCTATGGGAGGCTTCCATCTCTATGGGAGGCTTACATGACAGCAAACTGGGGGTCAGGTCATAATCTGCTTTAAAATTTGGTGTGTAGTTTGGCACTACACCCTATTGGTGAGACACATATGATTTTGCACCATAAATCCTATCGGAAGTCTTCTAAACTGAGACAGTGACATATCTGGTGGATGAGGAGGTCACCATGCATTTGTCCGCACATCTCACATCGTCCACGAGCAGCTCCTGATCTCCATGCAGCACGAAGGTTCACTACGAATCTGGCAGTAGCCTTCACAGAAAGACACACCTCTGCAACCTTCCAGGCTATGTGAGGGGAGATGTCTGGGTGAATGTCCAGAAAGAGACGTGTGTCTGGGTCTGCAAGTATCCTTTGCTTCCACGCTTCTAGTTCATACAGCCTAACTGTCTCCTTTACTTTCCTTTTCCATAACTTTTAAGCCATAAACGAACCGGATATAACCAATCTGTAGGGCAATGGCACCTTTGTTTCTGTGTTGCTGGTGGACAGTTGCTCGACGAGTTGATTTATGTGCCTTGTGAAACACTTCTGTACAGTGGGAACCATGAAGATACTTGTTATTAGCAACTACACAACTTTCCACTTAGCTATAAATGTTGTCCAATATTGTCCATAGGCTATCGGGGATTCCTATAGTGTGCAGTTTGTGCATAAGACCGGCGTGCCAAACCGTGTCAAAATCTTTTGAGCTATTTAGAAAACAACATATAAGGAGTGAGATGTCTCCATGTAGTTGTTTACAGTTTCTTGCGAAATGAACGATGTGTCACAAGAGGTCAATCCTTCATAAAACCGCACTGTTGATTGGATGGGAACATCTTACTATCTTTGAGCTGGGATATCCTTTTGCTGATTACCATTTCAAAAATCAAGATCACTGGCGGTAGAGTAACGCCGTATGAGTCTAGAGAAGTACGGGGTTTCTTTCCTCCTTTATATATTGGCACAATCACGACTTTCTTCCATTGTAGAGGGGTGTATACGGTGTCCAGTATGAGATTAAAGAGGATGGAGAGCATGCTGTATAAATACTTCCCCCATGTTTAAGATGCTCGTAGAAAATATTGTCAAGACCACATGCTTTGTTGTTTTTTAGGTTTCGATAAACACATAAACGTATGTATAACTATGTATTACCATATTTCCTGGCTGGCTGACCGAATTCATCAAACCAATATTGAAGTAAAACCAGGGAAGAGTGCTTTTAGATTGCATGCTTAGATAAAAATAGTTTTACATCTTACAAGAACATGTCCTCAAACTGTCCTCTGTTGTACGACGTTAAGCAGTCATTGGTCATATTTAAACAACATAAAGAAACCGTTAATCTGATCACGTGTACGTCCTGGCGTCTGAACACACCAGCAATACATTGTGATACTCATATCGGGTGTAAATGCTCGTTGGCGGTTTATCGGTGAAGGACACTGCAAGCTGGGCTTTGACCTGTAATATCAGACATGCGCTCTTTCATTTCAGCTGCACGGATCCACGCAACTGCACTTGTACGTTCCCGTGTAGACTTGCACAAGTCTCTAAGGTAATAATTAATAGTTTAAATGATAATTTCTAAAGAATATAAATAACCGTCAAACAGACAGGCGTCCTTGGCCGCTTATCTGGACTTGTCTCTTTAAAGCATAGAATTACTATACATCCATGGGCTTAGCCTTCAGTACAGCCTTGGAGCAAGGCTAGTTCCCAAAGTCTCCGCTAGAGTACAGACCCGTGTCAGTTATATCGACGTAATTTCCATAGACTTACATGTTATTTCAGTGTAGCATAAATAATTTTCATGAAGTGAGTTTAGGATGGATATATTTAAAATTTGACAGGCAAATTTGAAATCATCTCTGCTCTGCGCACATAATTTCAGTTCAATTCTCCGACCAATATTTAACCAATGATATTACATTTATCAACTTATGTATGGTTCAACAGTGCACAACAGTGCAGTGCCCAATAGGCCGCCATGTTAAAGGAGTTCACGGCTATGTACATATGTTGATTAAATTGTTGCCATTCGATAAATAAGCAACGGAAAATTAAACAGAAATTATGTGATTGTAGGTAAGATGATTCCTCACAAGTTTGCAAACTTTTACTTGGATCTTACGATAATTTAATTCATGAAATTATTTATGCTACACTAAATTAACATGTAAGTCTATGGAAATTACGTCAAGTGTCCGAATATAACTGGCACGGGTCTGTAGATAATGTAGTTGTGACCCAGACACGGTGTTTTCCCGGTCAGTCATGTATCTGAAGACGTGTGGGGAATGGATTGAGGGCCTTCGTTCTACAGCTGGTGCATGATAAATCACCTGTATATATGATATATGAATTTAAGGCCTTCAATCTACAGATGGAGCATGATACTGTATGATATATGGACATAGGGCCTTCTTTTTACACTACTTGAATATTACTGTGTTGGAGGTATGGATTAAGGGCTTCCTTTCCAACACTTGAGTATTATAATGTTTGAGATATGGATTTAGGGCCTTCTTTCACTCATTTAAGTAGTATATGTTTGAGATATGGATTTAGGGCCTTCTTTCACTCATTTAAGTAGTATAATGTTTGAGATATGGATTTAGGGCCTTCTTTCACTCATTTAAGTAGTATAATGTAGATATGGATTTTGGGCCTCTTTCACCATTTAAGTTATATGAGATATGGATTTAGGGCCTTCTTTCACTCATTTAAGTAGTATATGTTTGAGATATGGATTTAGGGCCTTCTTTCACTCATTTAAGTAGTATATGTTTGAGATATGGATTTTGGGCCTTCTTTCACTCATTTAAGTAGTATAATGTTTGAGATATGGATTTAGGGCCTTCTTTCACTCATTTAAGTAGTATATGTTTGAGATATGGATTTTGGGCCTTCTTTCACTCATTTAAGTAGTATAATGTTTGAGATATGGATTTTGGGCCTTCTTTCATCATTTAAGTAGTATAATTTTGAGATATGGATTTTGGGCCTTCTTTCACTCATTTAAGTAGTATAATGTTTGAGATATGGATTTTGGGCCTTCTTTCACTCATTTAAGTAGTATATGTTTGAGATATGGATTTTGGGCCTTCTTTCACTCATTTAAGTAGTATAATGTTTGAGATATGGATTTTGGGCCTTCTTTCACTCATTTAAGTAGTATAATGTTTGAGATATGGATTTTGGGCCTTCTTTCACTCATTTAAGTAGTATATGTTTGAGATATGGATTTTGGGCCTTCTTTCACTCATTTAAGTAGTATAATGTTTGAGATATGGATTTTGGGCCTTCTTTCGATAATTTAAGTTGTATAATGTTTGAGATATGGATTTAGGCCTTCTTTCACTCATTTAAGTTGTATAATGCTTGAGATATGGATTTTGGGCCTTCTTTCACTCATTTAAGTAGTATATGTTTGAGATATGGATTTTGGGCCTTCTTTCACTCATTTAAGTTGTATAATGTTTGAGATATGGATTTTGGGCCTTCTTTCACTCATTTAAGTTGTATAATGTTTGAGATATGCATTTAGGGCCTTCTTTCACTCATTAAAGTTGTATAATGTTTGGGATATGCATTTAGAGCCTTCTTTCACTCATTTAAGTTGTATAATGTTTGAGATATGCATTTAGGGCCTTCTTTCACTCATTAAAGTTGTATAATGTTTGAGATATGCATTTTGGGCCTTCTTTTAACCATTTAAGTATTATCACGTTTGAGGTGTGGATTTGGATCTTTCTTTCACCCATTTGAGCATTATAATGTTTGAGATATATATTGGGGCCTTCTCTCCACCACTTGAGTATTATAATGTCTGAGATGTGGATTTATGGTCTTCATTCTACCAATGAGTCGTATAATGTTTTAGATATAAATCACGGCCTCCTTTAGTAATTGGAGCATGACAATGTTCGGGGTGCAATGAACAGTCCACATTTAGAGCAGCAGAAAGAATTTCATTGAATATATCCATTTGATTCTGGGGAAATAATTTCTAAAATATAATAGCTGGCCGCCGAATTTGTCAATTAGTAAATCACAGATTTAGCTGACATGAACAAAATAACACAATGAATCATTAGAAACATTATTGGCAGAAGAGGTTTGGGAATCGGAGGAAAACAAACTCTTCGAGGCTAATTTCATGGATTTCCTTTTTGTACGGGTCACTAGTGACAAGGCGATAATTTTGAAAGAGTAATACAAACGTTCATTTGCAATTTTTGGTCTGCGTGTTTTGTAACTGAGGGTCCATGCAAAGGTGCTTGACGTGTGTAGGCTGTTAGCTCACCAGGTTGACGGCAAATATGTCATTAAAGAGGCCGGAGCTGGTCGCGAGTATTCTGCTCCTTCGGGTATACATACATTGACGTGGCTTCAGGTTCACGGCAAATATGTCATTAAAGAGGCCGGAGCTGGTCGCGAGTATTCTGCTCCTTCAGGTATACATACATTGACGTGGCTTTGTCCACTTGCTGCTTCAACAGTTTGCCAGTTTTGTGGAAATTTATGGCTACCATGTTGCCTTTGCACACTCAATATGAGTGAACGTGTGCCACTGAGTCCAATATGTTCTTGTACGGGGTCTGCGTCTGCCTCTGGGGCATGTGTCATCTCCTGTTTGGTTGGTTTACATACCGGGAAACGCTGACTGGGCTACCTAGTTAAAAATATTTGTCTTTGCAACCAGCTAACGGGGTTCAGTTCTAACAGGGTTATGCGCCTTCGGTTCAGGGGAATATGTCCTCCCTGCCTAGCCCCTCTATGGAGAGGCGTACAGCACCAGGCCCATATTACTAGTAATATTGTTGTTGTTGATGTTGTCGGGTTTTTTTGTTGATGATGTTGTCGTTATTGTTGTTGATGTTGTCGTTGTTGTTGCTGATGATGTTGTCGTTGTTGTTGTTGCTGTTGTTATGAATGTACAATGTTGTTATTATGAATGTACAATGTTGTTATTATGAAACACAATGTTGTTGATGTTGTTGTTGCTGTTTATGTTGTTGTTATTAATGTACAATGTTGTTATCAAAACAGAATGATGTTGTTGATGTTGCTGTTCATGTTGTTGTTGTCATTGTGAAAACACAATGATATTGTTCTTGTTGTTGTTGTTTGTTAAACCGATTTCAACATATTAATCGCACAGATTCGTTTTGACTACGTTTTGCATTTTCTTATATTTAATTAAGGCGTTAACACCGAGGACAGGAAGTTATGTTCTATGTTTTGTTTCAAATTATTGAATTCGGTAATTGGATTGGATCTGTTGCATTACAATGTGTGAATAAGTGACATCTTTACAAAGGCACTCTGGATTGTTTAAACTTACAGATGCATTACTTGTCCGTACAGGATTGACACTCAGACATTAATTTCACACAGGTAGAAGCATTGCTTACACATAGATTGAATTTGTGTATTAAATTATACATCAAATGTTAACTTGTCAATGTGTTCAGTCATAATTAACCCACCATCCCCTTCCCCTGGCCCAACTACCCACCACCATTTTACCCCCACACGAACTCGTCAGGAATCTAACATTTGTTCCATGTTCGTGAGAGAAATGAGCGAGTCAGTTGTATTATACATAGCGTATTTTAAGCAACATTCCACCAACATCAGGGGCCTTCGATATGACGAGCGAACGTGTTCGTCACCTGGCGTCTAGCCGAGCAATATAAGTTTAGGAAAGGATGTTATTATTGTTTAGAGACCCGTGAAGATCCGGGGTAGAATTGGTCTTCAGCAACCCATGCTTGACTTAAGAGGCAACTAACGGGATCGGGTGGTCAGGTTCGCTGACTTGGTTGACACATGTCATCGTATCCCAGTTGCGTAAAACGATGCTCATGATGTTGATCACTGGATTGTCTGGTACAGATTCGGTTATTTACAGACCGCCACCATATAGCTGGAATATTGCTGAGTGAGGCGTTAAACAACCAACAGCTATTATTGTTTAGCTCACCTGGCCATCTGAGTGGTATGGTGTCCCACGATGTGGGGTTGGGGGCACCCAAGGAAGAAGCCGCTAGCGCTGAGAATCACGGACACAGAGGCTATCCCCGTGATGAAGATAATGCAGGTGATGGGTCGCAACTTCAGCTTGGAAGTGATGATACCTCCTAACATGGAACCGCCAGCAGCAGCAACTACGTTCAGGGCACCTGTATCATTGAGATGAGGGTTTATCATTTGCAGTTTCCTTTTGACATACAGTGAATAAAATCTCAATTCATAGTGCAATTCCGTTTGTATCATGGGTATGTGAAGCAGTTCCCAGCTAACACACAACGTTGTGGGAAGGTTGTAGATTGGTAACGTCATGACACAACGTTGTGGGAAGGTTGTAGATTGGTAACGTCATGACACAACGTTGTGGGAAGGTTGTAGATTGGTAGCGTCATGACAACGTTGTGGGAAGGTTGTAGATTGGTAACGTCATGACACAATGTTATGAGAAGGTTGTAGATTGGTAACGTCATGACACAACGTTGTGAGAAGGTTGTAGATTGGTAACGTCATGACACAACGTTGTGAGAAGGTTGTAGATTGGTAACGTCATGACACAACGTTAGTATTACGTCATTGTATTGCGTTTTTTCACAACGTTACAGATACATATTTAAGTTGTCAAAACGTTGTGTATCGACTATTACACAACGTCATGTTTCATCGGTTCTGAAACGTTGATGCAACGTAATCTGTCTCCTTCCCGAAAATCGTAAGAACAAGAGTGACTTTGAATTATTCGTATATTCTGCAGAAAGCAAGACCGTAGTGCATTATTTACCTATTATATTACAATTTGTGATTACCATCCCATAAATATACTGAAGTCACAGTAACGTAATTTCCATTCTTCCTGACGTTAATATTACGTGACGTCGCAGCTTTGTGACAACGTAAACGTCCACAGAATAACGTTGTACAGACGAAAGCATAACGTTGTGGCAACGTGAAATTCTTAGCTGGGTGATGATTCCAGCAGCTGCTGTAAAGTCTCTTGGAAAATGTCAAGACAGAGAGTTGCATCAGACATTTCTTTTGTCACGGATGCAACAAACCCCGTTAGTCCGAAAAACTGTTAGTCTGGAATCCCTACGCCGGTTTAAACAGTGTCCTAAACACAACCTGTGTCAGCAAGTGATTCAGTTCCTATACATTTACCTCTTAATGCGGTTGCAAACCTACATACATAACCATGTGATACGCAGATTCATGGATCTCCAAATGACCTTATGCTTATAAGTGAAATATATACAACCTCCGTGAATGTGAAGTGTTGTTGTTGGGTTTTGTTAATTCAGGCATCTAACGTACTACGAATCTAAATATAGCGGCATGCATTGTGTGGCTGCTTCGGCTAAAGCCTGTTAGGTACCACAGGTCAAGCGACAGCCAGGGTAACAACAAGTATTTAACTACTTTTGGGTTGGCGCGACCGGTGATCGAACACCAGGCATTCTGCTCTCAGGCCTAACGCTCGATCCACTAGACCAGGGAGGCAGTCCTCGGTGAATATACCAACAAACCTAGAATGATCTCGGTGAATATACCAACATACCTAGAATGATCTCGGTGAATATACCAACATACCTGGCTAGAATGATCTCGGTGAATATACCAACATACCTAGTGGAATGATCTCGGTGAATATACCAACATACCTAGAATGATCTCGGTGAATATACCAACATACCTAGAATGATCTCGGTGAATATACCAACATACCTGGCTAGAATGATCTCGGTGAATATACCAACATACCTAGAATGATCTCGGTGAATATACCAACATACCTAGAATGATCTCGGTGAATATACCAACATACCTAGAATGATCTCTGTGAATATACCAACATACCTAGTATGATATTTGCCTTCCATGCTGGTATTTGAAACTGGACTTCGATGTATTTAGGCAGGAAAGACAGCATCCCACTGATGGCGAACAAGGTGAAGCAGGTAGCCAGTACCATGCACATGTAGATAGGATTGGTCAGCAGCCGAATCACCGCCTTCATCAACTCTTTTCACATGAAAATAAAGGTTATTTATACATTTTCATTACACGCTACAAGGCTTAGAAACAAAATCAAAATCACAGTATAGATTTGTCATCATTATACCATTTCATAGTTTTACCGTTATGATGCCATCTTGATCTTTCAATGTTTGATGTGTTTAACAATGTTTGAATCACTACGTTCGGTTACAACCCAGAAAGATTGACTGTTTTCAAGGGAGATCACTCGACCTTACGAAAATATTGCATACCATAAATGGAGTGAGTGAGTTTAGTTTTACGCCGCTTTTAGCAATATCGCAGCAATATCACGGCTGGGGACACAAGATATCGGCTTCACACATTGTACCCATGTGGAGAATCGAATCCGGGTCCTCGGCGTGACGGGCGAAAGCTTTAACCACTAGACTACCCCACCGCCCCACCATAAAGGAAAATAACTCACCTTTCATGTCATTTTTTAAGCTAACCCTCCTCTTTTTCTCCACTCTGGAGATGGTTTGGTCACGTGGTTTGATACGCCGGGGGAAGAAGAAGAGGGGGATGCTTGCGAGGATGCCACCTATCCCGAACACGAGGAAGCCCAGCCACCACGCCCCGATCCATCGAGGATCCCGTGGGGTAAGAGTTGTAGCTAGGGGTAGAGAGTTGTGTAACGAGGTATGTTGGTCATAGCACAGTGTTAGCCTTACATATATCTTGGCAAACAAGCAGATAGTGCTGTAAGTACTGCAATGCGTACGGTTACATTATCAAGCCGTCTAAACAGGTTTACATACTCGGACATTTTACCCAAACTGGATTACTTTCTTGTCGAGAGTCTTATAGATCTTTTATATTTCATTCCCATGGATATAACCCCCCGAAAGTTAAACTTTACATTTAATAAATTCTTCTTGCAATGACCTGTTCCGGATAGTCATATGATTCGGTTATTTAGCAACTGGGACACATGTTGATGCTACTTCCATTCAACGAACTATTTGTCAAAATGGCTGTCGCGTGAAGGCGGAATATGCCGAAAATGCCCGAGAGGTGTGATGAAGTACTCACCTTCCAACGTAACAGGCATCTTGCTGAACACGCCACCTAGCGTGAATGCTATGGCTGGTCCAAATATACTCAAACCAGTGATGATCCCTATAACGAAACGTTTGTCAGACAATTTTTTAATAATTATTTTTGGTGTTAATTTCAGACAAATGGGTTTACAAAATCACAAATTCTTGTTAAATTCGTATAACTGCCTTGGGACTCAACACATGCCTACCTAACTAAGTGCTATTCCTGTAGAGAAATCAAATGGGGCTAACCCCAGGGCATTTAGAAATGGTATCTGCAATCACCTGATTCAGGAAATGCTGCATACTACTAGTGAATGCTGGTAGTAGATAATATTTCAACAAGAGTGACGGGTATGGTTGTACGCCGCTGTTTTCCAGTAATATCACGGCGGGGGACACCAGAAATGGGTTTCACACATTGTACCCAAGTGCGGAATCGAACCCGGGTCTTCGGCGTGACGAGCGAACGCTTTAACCACTAGGCTAACCCACCGCCCCTTTCAACAAGAGAGACGTGCTTGTCGTAGGTAATATTTCAACAAGAAAGACGTGTTTGTCGTAGGTAATATTTCAACGCCAAAGACGTGCTTTCGTAGATAATACATCAACAACAAAGGTATTACTATTATGTCCTGGGACGGATGCTGCAAAGCGGCACTCACACCCGACTGTATGTCAGCGTAACCCACCGGCACGGACGGTTGCTGCACCATTACTTAGCGGGACAATTGCTGACAATGCATAAAAATGTGCTTACTCGGTAATACTGAAAACAACAATGTGTTCTCACCCGAAGGTAATAATAACCCCAGTTTAGGGAATGTCACAGTCTGAAACATTCCCGCAGTTTTTTCAGGATGTCCGTTGTGTTTCTATTAAATATGCGGCCATGACATTTGCCACAAAGATAAATGGGTGTATAGAGCAACAGCACGATGGATGTCCCAGTTGTATATCCGTTTAAAGGTCACCAACTTCACACTACCAACAACTTAAACAAGGCTCTGTCACCTAGAGTCTATTCGTTATTCAGTTTTGCACACTGCATCAGCAATGTAGAGCTTGTCCGATGCATATTTCGTGTTCCGTTGGTATTTTTCGTGGTTGTTGTTGTTATTGTTGTTGTTTAGGGTTTTGGGGTTTTGTTTTGGTTTTGGTTTTGTTTTTGAGGTTGTTTTTTTGTTTATTTGATTTTAAGTACGGTTATTTATGTCAGAATTCCAAGTTGGCAGGCTGGCTCGAGGTTTCGTTCACATTCTGCCCAACGTATTATCGTAAAACGGTGACTGCATTTCGTTATCAGAATATAATATCAAATATTTGTTGTTTTCTTGCAATTATATATCTACATGAATTAGTTAGGGTCTGATCATCTACGCTAATGGGTGGGGAACTGGTCAGAAGGAAAAAGAGGACGGTCACTCAAAATATAAAAGAGTCTTGGGAGGGGGAATCATTAAAATTAATACACATATCGGGTAATACAAAACGGATATTTTGTGATAAATTTATAAAGTGGGTCTGCATTTGTCTTTTCAGGATGGATCATCCAAAATATGTCAACCATCAAAACCCCGATGAATAAAACACGCTTAGAACGGAGCCCGAACCAGCCTCTCCCAACTTAGATGAATATATGCTGAATCAAGGCGTCATCGATTGTCTCATTTAACGCTACTTATATATCCAGGCTTATCTCATATAAGATGTGTCATGTGACAATCGATGTCGCCTTGGTCCATCACATATATATCACATTTGAGTGTGTGTGTGTCTGTGTCTGTGTCTGTGCCTGTGTCTGTGTCTCTGTCAGTCTGTCTGAGTCTGTGCCTGCGTGTCTGTGTCTGTGAGTATCTCTGAGTGTCTGTGCTTGTGTCTATGTCACTGTCTGTCTGTCTGTGTCTGTGTCAGTGTCTGTGAGTATCTCTGAGTGTCTGTGCTTGTGTCTATGTCACTGTCTGTCTGTCTGTCTGTGTCTGTGAGTATCTCTGAGTGTCTGTGCTTGTGTCTATGTGTCTGTGTCTGTGAGTCTCTGAGTGTGTGTCTGTCTGTCTGTGTCTGTGTCTGTGTCTGTGAGTATCTCTGAGTGTCTGTGCTTGTGTCTATGTCACTGTCTGTCTGTCTGTCTGTGTCAGTGTCTGTGAGTATCTCTGAGTGTCTGTGCTTGTGTCTATGTCACTGTCTGTCTGTCTGTCTGTCTGTGTCTGTGTCTCTGTGAGTATCTCTGTCTGTGCTTGTGTCTATGTCACTGTCTGTCTGTCTGTCTGTGTCTGTGTCTGTGAGTATCTCTGAGTGTCTGTGCTTGTGTCTATGTCACTGTCTGTCTGTCTGTCTGTGTCTGTGTCAGTGTCTGTGAGTATCTGTGAGTGTCTGTGCTTGTGTCTATGTCACTGTCTGTCTGTCTGTCTGTGTCTGTGTCAGTGTCTGTGAGTATCTCTGAGTGGCTGTGCTTGTGTCTATGTCACTGTCTGTCTGTCTGTGTCAGTGTCTGTGAGTATCTCTGAGTGTCTGTGCTTGTGTCTATGTCACTGTCTGTCTGTCTGTCTGTGTCTGTCTGTGTCTGTGAGTATCTCTGAGTGTCTGTGCTTGTGTCTCACTGTCTGTCTGTCTGTCTGTCTGTGTCAGTGAGTATCTGTGAGTGTCTGTGCTTGTGTCTGTGTGTGTGACTATCTGTGAGTGTCTGTGTCTGTGCTCTATGTCACTGTCTGTCTGTCTGTGTGTGTCTGTGTCTGTGACTATCTCTGAGTGTCTGTGCTTGTGTCTCTGTCTGTCTGTGTCTGTCTGTGTCTGTGACTATCTGTGTGTCTGTGCTTGTGTCTATGTCACTGTCTGTCTGTCTGTGTGTGTCTGTGTGTGTGTCTGTGTCTGTGACTATCTGTGAGTGTCTGTGCTTGTGTCTATGTCTGTCTGTCTGTCTGTCTGTGCTATCTGTGTCTGTGCTCTATGTGTGTCTGTCTGTGTCTCTGGAGTGGCTGTGAGTCTGAGTGTGTGTCTGTGTGTGCGAGTGTCTGTGTGTCCTGTCAAAGTGATACCTGTCTGGTGTGTGCTGGCAGCGCATGCCCTAGTTACAGGGTGTGTAATTGATTGATTGAAACATAAACAAGAACAATCTCTGGCAGGTTTAATATCTTCGATATATTAATACTTAAAATAAATTCAATTCTCAAGATATTTGCTTTAACGTTGTATTAATGGATCGGACAATTTTACGTTCAACCAAACAGAGTATTTGTACACAAAATACACCAGGTGTTTACGTAGCTGATGACACTGCACCGAATGAAGGGGTGAGTTAGTGCAGTGGCAGAGCATGAGTGAAACACAAGGCCTTAATATGGTCAAACACATAACACCATGCACAAAGGGTCAAAACCTTTTACATCACTCTTAAAGAACCACGACGCCAGTAGTTTAATATATGTTCGCATGCCTTAGTTTTATTATCAGAATATATTACGTAGCATCTATGGTTTGGTTTGTAATGCTAATGCCGTAACCCTTACTTACTTTCATCAAAGTAAGATATTATAATGTATGTTGGATTCGCCTTACAAATTGTGTCTCTTCCTTTGACAGTGATGTCATTGTAAAGTACAGTGTTACACAAGGTTAACATTCTGTATATATTGGTAGTAAAAGCGCTATTATATAAGGTACATTTATCAAGATTCACCTGAACAAATTAACGTTTATTCACATTTATGTTTATCGTATCTCATGACTGTTATCCCCAAGCATTGTTAACTCAAAATTACTCATTATCCCTAACAATAGCATTTCTCTTAAGGTTTCGTGTTTCACTTTCGATGTATACTCATGCCAATAATGGTTGTCACCCCCTTCAATTTTTTTTATTGGAGAGGGTGTGGGGTGGTGGGGGTGTGGGGTTGGGGTGGGGAGGGGGTGACAACCATTATAGGCATGAGTATATATTAGGATGTGAGTATATTTTCTGTGTTTTCCATCTCCCGCACGCGGAATCTCTTTTCGATGTGAAGTAATAAAAAAGGGTTTTCTTAACTCAGTTTTCCCCTCTTGAAATGCATGCCCTGGTGTGATAAAAGAAATACTGTTGCCATGCACGCTCATTCAAAACATGCCAGAATCATCTTTCTTCATCTGCATGTATCTGAAACATTGTTTCCAAAGCAAAACAACTCGATCTACATCATAGATTAATTACAAGAAAATTAATATTACTCAGTGAGTGAAAATACTTATTTAGTTTTAAGCATTATTTTCGAGTGTCCGTTCTATTGTTGTTTGAAGCTGCAGATGAGTAACACATAAAAATAACTCGGATGGCCTCACTTGGAAGCATTAAAATTAATCTTCCTGGCAAAAGAGGTATACACCCTTGTCTAATGGTGACCAAAAAGGAAATAGACAAGAAATAGGTATTCGATGTTTGTAGTCTTCCGGGGACTATGCAGCCTAGTATTGTTTTTATGTCATTTATAATGCTTTCGTCAAATCCAGTTTTAATGTGTATGCTTTCTTTCTGTACGGCTTTTGATTTGACATGCAAACAAGGTTTTGATGGTGGTTGTACATTTGATCATGCTTCAGTTTAATCAGCTCCTTACTATCACTTCAGTGAGTGAGTATAGTTTTACGTCGCTCTTAGCAATATTCCAGCAATATCACGGCGGGGGACACCAGAAATGGGTTCCACACATTGCACCCATGTGGGGAATCGAACTAAGGTCTTAAGACTGACGAGCGAAGGCTAGGCACTAGACCTTTGAAACACAATCAGAATAAACTGAACACCGTATATGTGATAGGTGCAACACCTCACGTCACTAAGGCACTGGCATTGCCCAAAAACCCAATTCCTTGGGACGCAAGCCCTTGTGCTGGAAACATATCAATGACAATTATACTTACCTAGGTACAAGGTTGTCTTCGTTTTATCTACGTTATCATCAACATACGTTGCGATGAACGGGTAACGAGGGGATTTCCCAAAACCTTGCAGGATCATTCCTATAGCTATAAGAGCAATGGCCATACTTCTTATAGACTCGGGTGTGTTTGCATTATTGCCTGAAACTGTCCTTTCTTCACAACCGTAACCTACAGAATTGTTACCGTGGCCTTGACCTTGACCTATGCTACACAATCGTCCTCCAAGCACCTGAGAATTGTTGACCCCTGTTGAATTGACAAAGGGGTGAAGGTCATTTTTGGTTGCAAAATACGGAATACTGCAAATAAGACCCGAGACTCCAAACAAAATGGTAGACAGGCCCAAAACCCGAGGTATGTGAGTCCTACGAGCGATGTAGCTCATGGCTATTGTTGTCATCAAGTAACCGATGTCGTTGCAGCTGAGGAGGAAGCCGCTGACTGAACTGCTGAACCCGAACTGTTTTTCTAGCGTTGTGATCTGCGAGTTGATGTAGATGGAGACGGTAGATGTCAGCAAGCCAGACAGACTGTACATCGCCGAGAATACGCTCATGGTTGCACAGCATTTTAGCGCATTGGGTCGGCACCCACCTATCCCACAATACACTTCGTCTTCCGATTTGACCTCCTTATCCGGTTTCTTCGCCATGTCATAATTGTTGTTCCCTAGGAAGGCTCGGCTGTCTTTGGTTTTAGATGACATGTTTGATCGTTTTGCTTCTCTTCACCAAAGATGAGGTACACATCAACGGCTTAGAACAATGTCAATCAACCACCTGTAAACTTCCAATCCGCTCCTCGCTTCGTGTGTGAATCTGGAACAATAGAACATGTAGAGGTACACCTACAGAATACCGGATACCTACCAGCCATATTGTTTAGTATCACGTCACCCTAACCCCAACGCTAACCCTAACCCGAAACCTCACCTTAAACTTTACCCTAACCTAACCCTAACCCTAAACTTTACCCTAACTCTAAGTAAACTCGCGTGTTTTCAAAGATGGCGGAATGTATCCGATATTCAGTAGTCTTCTGTAGTCTATAAAGCTTCACTATTGCATCACTTCAGCAGTGTTACTCTCCCTGAAATATAATACATTGCTCAAGAATGCACGGTCTAGACGATCTTCACAAACTATAAAACATTTATGACCATGTGCCCTTGCAGTCCTAATTTTATTCAGTTGTAAACCTTAAATTTCTGCATGTTAAACATACATACATACATATATATGTACGTACGTACGTACGTTCGTATATGTACGTACGTTCGTATATACATACATACATAACATGAGTGCGTGCGTGCATGCATTCATGCATGCGTACGTACGTACGTACTTACATGCATACATACAAACATACATACATACATACATACATACATACATACATACATACATACATACATACATACATACATACATACATACATACATACATACATACATACATACATACATACATACATACATACATACATACATACATACACGTACATACATACATACATACATACAAATATACATACACAATCGTGATACATAAATGCTGTAAGCTGGAGTTGCGTCCCTTATGTAGAGGGTAGTGGTTTTCATATGCTCGTACTGTTTTTACATACATTTACTCCACTTTTAAACTGCTAATGCAGTACAAAACACGCAGGTCGTTGGTCTGAAAAACAGTTTGATTCACGTATGAACTACCTGGGGTACCTACCTACGTAGGGAGGGTAGTGTTTTTCACTTCATCTTCAAATAAAGTAACTGACATTCATAAATTGTCTCCGTGACAAGGTGTTGGCATGTACGCATGGGAATGAATCTGAACATGCCTGTCAAAAGAAAATACCGTGGGACATGACATTCATTTTCTTCCATCCGTGGCAAAGCTTTAGTTCAATGTTCCTTTGTCTATGGAAGCCATAATCCAACAGCGAGACGTGGTGTTATTTTGCCATTTTGTCATCGGGTGTCAATTATATCGTCCTCTTATCACAACGGCGTGTTATATAGCCCATGGGTCACCCCGTTTTGCGATATTAAGCCATGCTTTCAGTCCTCTCGAAGAAAAACGTGTGGGTCCATGTGAGGTTGTCAGCTAGCTGAATCTCCCTGAACTGTGTTGGCCCAAATGAAATCACTAAACCCATAAAACCAAGCAAATATAATACATTGCTCAAGAATGCACGGTCTAGACTATAAACTATAAACTCACAAACTATAAAAAATTTATGACCATGTACCCTTGCAGCCCTAATTTTATTCAGTTGTAAACCTTAAATTTCTGCATGTTAAACATACATACATGCATGCATGCATGCATACATACATACATACATGACCTAAGCCTGTTCATCCACCTGAACAAGGGGCAAGAACTAGCACAAAAACGTCGTGGTAAACAAATAAAGAAGTTGTTATCCATAAGATTAGTCTTATATTAAGCCTGTTCTGGTGACATCAAAGAAGTTGTATTTTTCTCAAATGAGTGAAAGATGTCAGTCCGAAAAGAAATTAACCCTCTTGGTGGCAAGAAGGAAACTATACACAGGTGTATATTAGCAAATCAATAGTCAAATATCAACACAAAGGACATATATCCTAAATCATCTTCACATAGGATCTCAATGTATATTCACCCATGCATGAAAAATGAATATCATCATTTGTGAAAGACACCACTTACGCCTTCACACACACGTACACACACAGATTGTATGTTGGCCAGCGAACTTTGTCAACCCAATATCAAACAAACCATTAGATATTACTCGTATTATCATGTGGATAAACTGTGTCATCGTTATGTCAAGAAAACCATGACATATTTCTCTTGTGGATTAACGAGGTCAACCTAATGTCAAATAAACCATAACTTATATTCTCACGTGGATTATTTCATTCTAATATATATATATAAATGATGTAGGTACTTTCAGCTGAACTCACAAATCAGTTGTGCAATCACAAGTACTATCAAGTACAAGAAGAGCTTTGTGATGTGATACTACATGTATTTCTGAAACATTGTGTTTGTGTCTGCCAAGAATACCTTTCTGATGATATCATTGTAGAACCACGTGCCCGTCCAAACCAAAGAAACACTCAAGATCTGATATCATTGTAGGACCACGTGGCTGTCCAAGCCAAGGAAACACTTATGATCTGATATCATTGTAGGACCAGGTGGCTGTCCAAGCCAAGGAAACACTTATGATCTGATATCATTGGCTGTCCAATATCATTGGCCCAAGCCAAGGAAACCCTTATGATCTGATATCATTGTAGAATCATGTGATTGTCCAAACCAAGGAAACACTTATGATGATATCATTGTGAATCATGTGATTGTCCAAACCAAGGAAACACGTATGATCTGATATCATTGTAGGACCACGTGGCTGTCCAAGCCAAGGAAACACTTATGATCTGATATCATTGTAGAATCATGTAATTGTCCAAACCAAGGAAACGCTTATGATCCGATATCATTGCAGAATCATGTGTCTGTCCAAACCAAGGAAACACTTATGATCTGATATCATTGTAGGACCACGTGGCTGTCCAAGCATACATACATGCATACATGCATGCATACATGCATGCATACATATATACATACATACATACATACATACATACATACATACATACATACATACATACATACATACATACCTAACACGCCACACTGAGCACTTTCCAGCTATTTCACGGCCGTACTGGATTTAAAGGTTGGCTGGCACCTACATGATTATACGACTAAATATTTATGTAATCTATACAAATATAAGGAAGCATGAGTGACCATATTTAATACTTTTCAATCCAGTATATCACAATCGTGATGGAAGTATTGCGGGATATCAACCCATCAAATGCTGAAAGCTGGAGTTGCGTCCCTTGTGTGGCAGAAACCTATGATCGAGGTTCAAGTGAGTGAGTGAGTATAGTTTTACGCCGCTTGTAGCAATATTCCAGCAATATCACGGTGGGGGACACCACAAATGGGCTTCACGTAATGTACCCATGTGGGGAATCGAACCCGGGTATTCGGCGTGACGAGCGAAAGCTTTAACCACAAGGCTACCCCACCACCCCTGATCGAGGTTCCAAGCCTTGATGATGTTTCCAGGTCAACACCATACCCGTGCTTGTGAGTTGCACCAAATTGATCAACATCTATTGACTCTGGGCATTCCTCACACATGGAACTGACACCATCGACACCACTTCACCTGGTGAGGAGGTTCGTGTGATTCTTTAAAACCATACACAAAAGGTTGAGTTAACAAATTGTTGTATCGGGTGGTCTTACCTCGTGACCTCGTGGATATGTGTCACGGACGTCTTAGTGCGGTCGTCCTCATTTCATGCATCTCGATTCAATGAATACACGTGTACACAACCCGAACGACATTCAATGGAGGCGTGTCATCTTTTTAGAAAAACAGGCTGTGAGCAGAGGTCGAATATCAATGAAGAGGAGGACATCTCATATCGTGTTCACTGCTCTCTCGCGATAAGACATTACCAACTGTCGGCCACGATGTTGTGGCATGTATCATATGGATATAATTATATCGTTGAACCAGATGTTACAATAATTCATGGGCGAACCATTTATAGGGCTATGGGGTTGAGAAACGGGGGGTCATTTTGGGGGTGTTTTTCATGCATAAAAGACAACTAAGATATTTTCAATTTCAATTTTCACCTGTGAAAACGATGTTTAAAATATTCTCTCTATGCATTATACTGTTTAGATGATGGAGGTGTACTTTAAAAAATCGAAGGATTTCAGCGAAAACTAATTGATTGTTTTAAGTCTCATGTTTAATGGAACCGTCACGACTTCGTCGCGTGACAGGTCGTGACAATACTCCATATATATATAAATCTATACTACTCAAAAACTTGTATTGACAGTTGATATGTGCTCACAGATAAACCAGTATAATAGACACAGGGTTGTTACACAACGTTATAAAATGACGTAATACTAACGTTGTGACAACGTTGTATCGTGACGTTACCAATCTACAACCTTCCTATAACGTTGTGTGTTAGCTGGGTTACCATTGAAGGCTGTGGTGAAATAACGTTATAAAATGACGTAATACTAACGTTGTGACAACGATGTATCATGACGTTACCAATCTACAACCTTCCCATAACGTTGTAAAAACGTTGTGTTTTAGCTGGGTTACCATTGAAGGCTGCGGTGAAATAACGTTATAAAATGACGTAGTACTAACGTTGTGACAACGTTGTATCATGACGTTACCAATCTACAACCTTCCCATAACGTTGTGAAAACGTTGTGTGTTAGCTGGGAACTGCTTCATATACCCATGATACAAACGGAATTGCACTATGAATTGAGATTTTATTCACTGTATGTCAAAAGGAAACTGCAAATTATAAACCCTCATCTCAATGATACAGGTGCCCTGAACGTAGTTGCTGCTGCTGGTGGATCCATGTTAGGAGGTATCATCACTTCCAAGCTGAAGTTGCGACCCATCACCTGCATTATCTTCATCACGGGGATAGCCTTTGTGTCCGTGATTCTCAGTGCTAGCGGCTTCTTCCTTGGGTGCCCCCAACCCCACATCGTGGGACACCACACAACTGAGATGGCCAGGTGAGCTAAACAATAATAGTTGTTGGTTGTTTAACGCCTCACTTAGCAATATTCCAGCTATATGGTGGCGGTCTGTAAATAACCGAATCTGTACCAGACAATCCAGTGATCAACACCATGAGCATCGTTCTTCGCAACTGGGATTCGATGACCTATGTTAACA